TTGATCTAAAGGGGGTTCCTCTCCCTTACCCCCGCACTCCCCGTGTGCAGGTGAAGTTCGCCAGTGAGAGAATTGGGATTTTTCACAAGATAGACTGTGATCACTACATAATTCGATATGAATATTTGAGGTACTTTTCCCATGAAAAAATCCATACTTTAAACACTCCCCCCCCAAACACACACACAAATTGTTTTTATGAGAACCAATTAATAAATGCTAATTCATCCAGGCATATCTCCACTAAATTACTGTTTCATTTAATTGTGGGGGAATTTTCCATTACTAAACTCTCCCTTGCTGGGTTTTTTTTTTCGCTATATTTTTTTCAGTTTCACTAATAGTGAGGTTGGTATGCGATATTATCTGCTGTTTGTACGTCTTAAATTTCTTTTTCATTTAAAATGTTTCCTCATTCTTGCAGCTCCACGTAATCTGGGAGAAACATCATTAAAAGCAGACAAGATTTAATACATAAATGATGGAAACAGGCACTGGCTGAAGAAACGGGCACAGGAGAGCGTCTTGTCTGATGGTGCCCCTCTGATGTCAGGCGTGCATGGGTGTGCGGCAGCGTGTGTCTCCACTTTGGGTTAATGTGGAAATGTTTTCCTATGTCAGTGAGTCACAAGTCAATCCACGAAAAGACTTGTGGGTACACAACTAGGAATGAAGATCACAGGGGCTTGAACAATAAAAATAAACAACACTTGAATCTCTTTTTAAGTCGCCGGCAGACAATGTGTATTTTCTTGCTTCCTTTTCACGGACACCAAATCCAAACTTTGACATCTAGACACCCAAAATCCAGACCAGCTGGTCCCCAAAGATCCTGCCTTTTTTATGCATAGAAAATTGGGGGGTTCCAGTGATGGTTAGGGGTGGCTTAGGGACTGTGGTTGAGATCGCATTCAAAAGGACATGTTTTGAGGTAGAATTTTGATTTCCTTGTAATGAATGGCAAAGTTTCCATGCACCTGGCTACCGTCATTTCTGAAATAAGTTCTTTCACTTTTCCCTCTCCAGCCACCTTCTTCCCCTCTCTCCTCCCCTCCCCCACTGCCTCCTTTCAGTGTCTTTCTTTTTCTCTTTAGTCTTCCCCTTCTTTCTCTTTCACGGTAACACATTCTGGAGGATGTGAATGATTAAACTGTTTACTCCGAGGTTTGAGGTTTAGGTATGAAAAGGCATGCCACTGTAAGTAAAGTTTCACCTTTATACCCAACGCTATCAATAATTACAGAGCAAGGATGATTGCTAGTAAATCTCTCTTACAGTTAGCTCTTACAAAAAGTGATGGTATTTATTCTGAGTGTACTGAGTTCTACTGATCTTACTATTCACAAAAATTAATTACAAAGCTGAGTAACCTCCAAGATGAAGTTAGCGTATAAAGGGATCATGAGTATGTCCCCGGGAAAATGCATACCCATAAAACATGTACCACATTAAAATTCAAGATTTGAGGTCATAAATAGAAACTTTTGACATGTTATTATAATAGTAGATGCTTTCCTTTGAACCAAAATATCTCTTAAGAATTAAAATTCCGAGATTGATTTTTGTGTTGTTTTTCTTCACTTCCTTTGTCCTCTTCAGCAAAATTAGGTAGAGTCCTTTCGGGTATAGACTGATAAAATTAATTAACTTTCCTTCCACCCCCAAAATGTCCCAAATAAATGCTTCCAATAAACATCAAAAGTGTCAATTAGAAATAATTACTTCTTATCAATCAGTAGGGCAATTAAAGTGACAAAGCTTGAAAAGATACTTATCTTAAAACTAATTCACAAGGTAGCTAAATTATCTCCTAATTAACTTGCATTGAGGAGGGTGGGAGGACGGACCATCTTGAAACAAAGATGAATTGAGGAACCCCAATACCTCTTTATGGTCCTCAAGCTCCTCAAGACTGTTTTTCATCCTGAGACCTTATTTTCAACCCAGGCAAGAAACCTGGGCAGAAAATAGATCTCTGGCTCCCTTTGCCCCTTTTTAAAACCAAGAGGAGGGAACAGGGGTTTTACATCTGTGATTTAAGGAAGTTAGAGATAGGCTCCTCCTTGATCTAAAGCCTCCTTTGACTTCTTGAATAACCTATTTTCAGGAGCTGAGGGAGCGGGCTTCTCGGAAGTTATTGCGCATAACTTTTAATGACAACCTGCTTGCTTTTTACTAAACTCTCTTCTTCATGGATACAGTATTGTTTACATTTTAGTATTTAGGTGGCTTTTCTCGTGCATCTTTGACTCTTTAAAAAAACTTTCTTGTTTTAGAGGATCTTTGTTCCCAGATGCTACAAAATTCCCAGTAGAGTTTACAGACCATTTATATTGCTGACCACCGGCAGGTCAGAATCATTCACTCTTCGCTCTCCACATCCCTTCAGAGATCGGAAGTTAGAAAAAAAAAATATATATATATTTATAAATAAAAATAAAAAAAATTATAGCTTTAAAGAAGTCTCTGAGAAGCGAGATCAGCGGAGAGCGAGCTGAAGAGGGTGAGCCACAGCGGCCTGGGGGGCGGAGGCCGCGCAAAACTTTTCTCGGACGTCTCGGATTTTTGGAAACGGTGCGCATGGCCTCGCTCCCGCGAAAAAAGGCCCGCGGCCGCCTTCGCCCCGGATGCTGCTCCAGGGGAAGCTTCAAGGGGCGCTCTCCAGGCAAGGGCCAGGCAAAGCCGAACTCAGAAATGGAAGTGCCTTGGGAAAAGAGGGAAGTCTCTAAGACCTACAAGAGAAATGGGCTTATAAAAACAGGAGGGCTCAGCTTATGAATTTAGCTCTAAATATAGGCAATGGCGCCAACTGATTAGAAAGACAGAGGGTCTCTCCCTCAGGTTTGCCTAGAGAGGATTTAGAAAAGAAACAGGGGACAGTCTTGAACATTTTGAGCTATGTTTTAGGCAATTTTCTTCTGTTTCATTAGCATTAAATTAAAGGAGAAAGTCTCATCCTCCCTCTGCCTCAGATTTTTTTTTTTTAATTTGTTTTGCGGAGAGGAATAGAAGAAGCCCCTCTGGCTCCTCTAGACAGAAAATTACCTCCGTCCCAGGCCCTGCCAGCGGTGGACGGCTCCCTCCCCAAACCCAAGGGCGAATTGCCTCAGAGCTAATGGAAAAACTGTGTCTCCTCATCTGGGTCTGTTGCTGATTAAAAATAAAGTAAAAATAATTGTGTCCTTTCTTCTTTCCTTCTTTATTTCCTTTTATTCTAACGAGTGCTTCTGTAATTAAAATAGGTAGCGAAAACAAAATCAAGCCAACCCAAGGGACCGTGACATCGTCTTATTTCTCGAGCAGCAACATAGAGGAAAGGGTCTGGTCCAGCAGGGTAAATTCGAGGTCCGGGAGCACCCACTCCTATCACCGCCAGAAAGGTCAGGGGAAGGTCGGGGGTTGGTTGGGGCTTGGGGGTGAGAAAGGAACCCAGAGCCCAGCGAAGCGGCGGGACCCAGCCTGGCGCGGGTTCTGGCACCTGGCGCCGCGCGCTCGGCCTCGGAGACTGTCCTGATGATGCCGAGCCGAGTGGATTGACGTCTCTCGTTTTACCCCCGTATGGCTAAAGACTAAGGGACTAAAACCTGGTCCTGGCCTCAAAATGTGATCAAGGAGCTTGAGTGGCGCCCGGGCGCGGGTGGGGGCGGAGTAAGGGGTGCCAGGCGCTCCCCTCGGTGCCCTGGCTCGTCGACCCCGCCGCTCCCGGGGAAGGGCTGTGAGGTCTCCATTCCGCGCCCCTGGAGGCCCGGCGCCCGCAGAGGGCGGCCAGGACGGCGGTGGCCCCCAGGGGCACCGGGGTGGGGAGGGAGCGTGCTGCTGACTCCGTCTCCGGTGGTAGAGCGAACCCGAAGGAGAAACCTACCGGCGCCCCGGGAGGGGGGGGGGGCCCTGCGCCTCTGCCCGTGGAGCCTCGGCCCCCAGACCCGAAGCAGCGCGGGCGCAGCTCGGACCCGCGGCGCTCTGGGCTAAATTGAGATCTCAGCCGCGCGCCGCGCCCGATCCGACCCTGCTTATTATAACAAATGTCCCGTTTGCCGAGCGGGACTTCATATTCGCCGAGAATTCATCTGAAATATTGATTTCCTCTCACTCCACCGGCCCAAATCGATAGCGCTGCGCCCTGGCCCCATAAATCGCCTTCCCCGCGGCCGGCCCAGCTCCATCCATCACCGCGGGCCAGGCCGCGCCTCTGCCCGCTGTCCACACTTGCTGAGCGCCTGGCCGGCCGTGCCCACCGCGCCGCCCGGCCCCGACCCTGCGGCTGTTTCCTGACACAGACCACCCCGGCCTGGGCCAGGAGGTGGGAGAGAGCGGGAGTCGCGGCCAGGGACACCCTGAGCGCTTTTGAAGGGCCTGGGCCCGGTCGCCGGTGGGGAGGGGAGTTCGGCCCGTGGGGGGCTTAGTCCTCGCAGGCCGGACGCCCCGAGCGCGGGTCCCCGCCTGCCCGGTGCTGGGCAAGGAGGAGTCCGAGAGCCCCCCAGTGCGCTCTCGGCTCCCAGGCCCCGGACCGCGGGCTCCTTTCCGTTTGTCCGGAGAGGTGCGCTCGGCTCACGGTCCCGCCCGGGATCCACGGGCAAGAGCTGGGCGCACCCGGGGACGAGGGCTTAGAGGTCGGGGGCAGGGGAGCTGCAAGTCCTGCACGGCCGCGGCGCAGGGCCTGAGAGCGTGCAGGATGCCCACTCTCATGGGCCAGGCAAGACCCGGCTGGGGCGCGAAGGACACCCCTCTGACCCCACGGAGAGGTCCTCGCCGCTCCGGGTGGTCCGCAGAAACCCAGGCCTGCGGAGGGCAGCTCCGCAGGGCCGGGAGGGATCTCAGGGCCCGAGAGCGGCGAGACGGCAGCCGCGGAAGGCCAGGCCGGAGGCGTCCGCAGCTGCGCCCACCACGCACGGGGTCCAGCGAGCCGCGAGCCTACGCTCCCCAGTCCCACCGACCCGAGCGTACGCACGGACGCACGGCGACGCGAAGGCTCGGGGGTCCCGGCCACTCCGCGTCCTTACCCGATCTGATGGAGTTGTGAGGCATCGCCGGGGAGTCACTCGCAGCCCGCCGAAGGCTCAGGGCTTCCTCACGCAGGTCCCCGCTGCGCCCACCGCCACGCCGCTGCCCTGCACAGACCCAGGGGCAGGGGCATGAGACTCCCTGCCCGCTGCCTTAGACCTCCTCCCCAGGCCCTACCCCTGAGGCTCTCATCGCGAGGCAGGAGTCTCAGGATTTTTAGGTGAAGTGTGGCCAACCTCAGCCCGGCCTAACACATGCGCCCGGCCAGAGGATCCAGCGTTGGCATCCTCTGAGCAGCCCCAAACTCCAGCCTGGTGCCCTCTACCTCTGCCAGCCCAGCCTTAGCCAGTTTAACTTCAGAGAAAAAAGGCTACCGGGCTTCCTGGGACCCTCTCCCTTCTCCAATCACCCCTTTCTCCCAGTCAACCCCTGGGAGGCATACCTGGCCGGCCGGCAGGCCACAGGCCTTCACTGCCCGGGTCCGCCCGCGAGGGTGCCCTGGGCCCCGCGTCTCTCCTCTTTCCGAAGTTTGTTCCCATCCACCCGGCATCGCCGACCGGTTTTATCCCGCCAGGGCCCGGAGAGATGGGTCTGGAGAGCCTCGCAGGCTGCGGATTGGCTGGCTGGGTGCAGGGGGGTGCAGGAAGGGGAGGATTTTGCAAGGGGGACATGGCTGAGTGGACTCAGGAGTTAGAAACATTCGCTGGAGCTTCTGTTCCCAGTGGAGAGAGGAGAGGGAGGCAGCTGGGCCCTAACTCAGCAGGCCTGGAAAGATTTGAGGAGTGGGCGATGGAGGCCTCAGGGCCTGAGGATGAGGGTCTCTGGGTCCCCCCGGGGTCAGTGACACCAGAAGTGAGAGACACGCCACCTCTGTGCACCCTGCGTCCCCTCCTCTCACCCCTAGTCTGCTCAGGGGATCACCTTTTCTTTTGTGGGAGGGAACTTTGTTTTATATGCCTGGTTCTTAAGGTAGATGCCTATTCTCAGGGCGGGAGGCAAGACGGTGTAACCTTCTCACCACTGGTGTGGACCTCTTCCAGGGCAAAATCCTGAACAGCCCCTGAACCCATTCCTTCCGCACCAGCCAGGATCCACGCCTCACATTGTTAAGTTAATGAAAATGGTCACCTAACCCATTCCACGGGAACACCTTTCTCCTTCTAAACACACAGCCGCCAGCCTCCTTCCTTGCTTCCTGAGGATTTTGAACTTGGGAGAAGAGTCCAGAGGACGGGCCATGAGGGCCTAGATTTCAACTCAACGTGGAAGGGTATTAGAAAGGGACGGGATGAGCTGAACCCTGCCTTGTCTGCAGGAATCAGCAGCCTTGGGGCCGTGTGGGTCTGGGTGTGGATAAGAAGGGCTCCCTTGGGGTGGGAATGAGAAGCCCTTAGAGGGGGTGAAAGCTGCCCCCCTCCTTCCTCACAGGTCTTCTCTTCTGTCGGGGGAAGCGGGTACAGGGAAGATTGTGTGGGCGAGCAAATGTCCTGCAGTGCCAGCAGGCCGGCGGGGCAAGGCCTGGGTGTTCCCCAGCCTCAGGCTGTGCTCTGGACTCAGGGTTATATCTGAGAGAACTGTGATGCTCCTGGCCTGGCTGGGGGGACAGCTCTGGGGTATAGAGGCTTAGAGCTGCCGGTGTGAGAGGGAAGGGATGGGGCCGAGGCAACTGGGGTGACTCAGAGGGATGTGTGCGCGGGTGTGTGAATACACACAATTTTTCTTAATTAAAAAAAAATCTCTCTCTTTCAGGTTAATCCACTTCCTCCTCCCACCCAGCCTTGCTTGTTTCTCGATTTAGCAGAAATTAATGATTCTGTGAAAAGCAAAAGACTATGTATGTTCCAAAATGGATCCTCTACCCCATACGTGGCTCGAAACAAAAAACAATTCGCGCTTTATTGTTCTAAATGCGTCTCAAAACTTATTATTTAAAATCGCTCTGTGGTTTCAAAATGTCCAGTATTCCACTTCTCTGGTCAGACCTCCTCCCGGCCGCACCCCAGAGAGAGAGGGAAGAAAGGTGCTGGGATGAAAGTGGGCCTTGGTGTAGGTCCCACGGACCCCACAGGCCAGTTGCCGGTGCCTGCCCTGTTGTCTGTAGGGGAGCGGTGGAGTGCGGAGGCCACGCAGAGACTGTCCACCCAGGCTCCCCTCGCACGGCGGAGGCAATGCTCCAAGGGTGAGCCTGACAAGCCCTCATCCAAACAGTTCTGCAAACTTCAGAGCGTCTGCCCAAGCTGAGGGGCTGACAGGTACCCATAACCTTGAAAACTTCTGCATCGCTCTTGCCAATGCTTTCCTCCTGTTCAACAAAACAAGGTCCCCTCCTCTCCCCCCACCCCGTTTAGCAAAACTTCTCAAAGGACAAAAACAGCAAGTTATCAAAACAGTCAGGTCCCAATTGTGAGTTCATTTTTTTAAAATTCTTTTTAATATGGAAACTTAATATGCAAAAAACATCCACACACCTTGAGAGCACCCCTTCCCCAGACTGCAGGTGACAGCTGGTGGCCAGTAGGAGGCTCCACAGAGAAGTTCTTCCAAAGCCAACAAGCCAACAAGCAGTAAGAACACAGGAGCTCCACTGCCTCTTGGTCTGGTCCTGCTTTTTAATTACAGTGGGATTGGAATAGGACCTAATTGTTTTCAAGTAAAGCCAAGAGAACGGTTATTAACCAGTATCCCAACCCTTTGCAAGTGCAGAGGTTGAAATGATACATATATAATTATATATATATATAAAATTTTAAAATATGCCTTTTATCACTGTTTTTTTCCAAACAAGAAAGATTCATGATCCTTTTAGTTAAGCGTAAACATCTCAAGCCTTCCTTTGATGTAATTAAACTTTCCAAATAAATTTACCATCCTGGCTATGACACTCAGAGCAATGGGAAATTGAGGACATGCCTTTAAAAACGAAAACACCTTCTTCTGCCTTCTTCTCAGATTTGATGTCCGTAAGCCTTTCACGCTGAGACTATCACCTGGCAACCTGTGATTTAAAGCCAGTTATGAATTTTTAAACTCAGTGTTTTTCCAAGAATATTTAATTCGTTGCCAGTATGAAAATAAATCGAGAAGAGAGAGTAACTCAGGTTTCCTTTAAAAATTGGACAGATCTGGCCACAGATCTAAGTGTTTCTTCGTAGAAATGAATTATCTTGCAGTTCAACATTCAAAGAGTTTAATATACATCCCAGGTAGCTGCCTAACCCCAGTGAGTATTCTGTGATTTTTAAATTCTAAGTTGATCCACTGAAGCTTCAACAGATGGTCTTTCTTTCCACGGTTCAGCTGAAATCCACCAAACTGGTGGTAGGGTTCGTTAGGGTTGAGACTGAGGACGTTCCCTAGACGTGGGATTTTGGGTGCTAAAATACCGAACTGTCCCAGGGAAACCAGTATGAGTTGGTCATGTTAGCTGATAGAGCTGGGAAGGAAGGGGTTTGGGGTCTTTTAATAAGCAGCTCAGAGCTTACTCTGTCCCTGGGCTGGGTATTCAGCTGTGCAGGTGGAACCCTGCCTCCTTCTGGATAAGGCCCTTGACCCTCTGCTTGGTCAGGGGCCTCTTTCCCCCTCACCTCCCTGTATCCCAGGAGAGGGAACCCAGGACCTCTTCCTCCCCTTTGATATCAAGTCTCAGAAATTTCTCTCTGCCAACTGCCCAGAGGCCAGCCCTGGGGGAGATCCCTGCCCCCTGCTTACCTGCCATGTCACCTTCCCCTACATGGTAAACAATCCCGGGACTAAAGTGCATCCTTTGGGGAGGAAACAGCAGCTCTCTACTCTGAGTTAGAAGGCAAGCGTTTCAGCCCTGGCTGTGTGAAATGGGACCATTCCCTTTCTCTGAGCCTCAGTTTCTTCCTCTGTAGGATGTGGGCGTGAGTGAGGAGTGGGGAGGGTGAGACCCACCTCATAGCCTTGTTGTGACGGTGAATAGAATTATGATGGTAAAAGCCCTTTGGAAACTGCAGCTCTGTACAGAAGTTAATTATTATTAGACAACAAAGGCAGGGCGATACTTCCAAGAAGGGTAGAGGTGACACTCCTCTAAAATTTTGTTGTAGATGTTGGTTCCTTTAATCCTTTCCCAGCAGCACCGTGAGTTCTTTAAACAGCTGTGTGACTGCTGGGTGATGGACAGGTGAGCCGTTGAGCAGGAAAGGGCCAGTGAGCCTGTGCTTGTGCGTTGGGTGCAGGGTGGGTGTGGGAGCTTCTGTGGGACGGGGGTGTCTGTGAGGGGAGCGATGAATAGTCCCTGGCCCAGAAAGAGGGAAGCAGAACCAATGGCAGAGGGGGAGGGCCAGCGCCTGGGCAGAGCTTCAGACCCCCCGATTTCACCATTTGCCGAAGGCAGAAGCGCTCAGGGCACCACCCTCTCCCCCGACAGACCTGTCCAATTGTGCCCCAGCCACACGGGATTTCTACCAGGTCCCACACCTCAGGAAATGGCCGACAGCCTGCCCTGAGGCCTCCTGGCGGCTGTGTCAGAGAATCAATCATTAATTACCCCGCGCTCCTCCCCCCACCCCCAGGCTTTCAAAACACAGAAATAGAAATACAGGTCCTGACAGGTGAAAGGAAAGTGGAAAGCAGTTTGGAAAAAGCCACCCGTGGCATCTGTCCAGTTGCTTTTGGGGTTGGAGATGTGTCCTGGGCACAGGTCTCTGGAGATCTTTGCCCACCCCAAAGCCCCTGGTGGCTGTCACCTGGGCTGCCGTTGGGGACCTGGTATTTTCGGGGTGGAGTAAGAAAGAACCCCACTGGGGAAGCAGAGAGAAAGGTAACAGAAGGAGAGGAAAGGAGCAATGTATAGAGGGGATAACATAGGTCAATTGTTTTTCTTTTTCAATAGTTTTTTTTAAAGTTACAAATAATGACCTAGGCCTCTTGGCAACCCATTTTGCAGATGAGAAGACTGAGCCCCAGGAAAAGTACGTACCAGATCTGAGGTTACCCAGCTGGTAGGTGGCTGACTCGATGTCCAAATAAGCACTAGAGACCCAGGCCTGGCCTTAATGCTGGAAATTCTGCTCACCCCAGCCTAGTTCCCTCACTCCCCAGCACCTACCCCACATCCCATCAGGAAGGAAGGTTC